ATATTGTGGTAGAATCTTGAAAGAGACTAGCGTCTAAATGTTTCTTATGATTGTACTGTTTGTAGGAGCTTGGAGTATGCGAGGATGACTTTAATGGAAATCTCATTACAGATGAAGTAGACTTGGCTCTTGAGAACTATGAAGAACTCTTTGGTTCAGCCTTCAACTCATCAAGATATCTCTTCGAACACGGAGGAATTGGAAGTCTTTTCGAGAAAGATGAAGCTCCTGAGGTTTTGTCAACCTTCTTCTTCTATCAGAGACTAGTATTACTAACGTTAAGGATGATTTTTTTCTGTGATCCTTATGCTCTTATGTGTTTTTATCAATTCAGGGCTCAAACAAAGGAAACGAAATGCAGCAGCCTGCCGTAAACAATAATGCATCTGCAGATTCGTTCATGACTTGTAGAACGGAGCCAATAATTTGCTATTCATCAAAGCCTACTCATTCGAATATATCCTTCTCTGGCATCACGGGAGAAAGTAATGCTGGAGATTTCCAAGATTGTGGGGCATCATCGATGAAGCAGCTTTTAAGGGAGCCACAACCATGGTGCCATCCAACAGCACAGGACATTATTGCTTCCTCACATGCCACAACACGTAACAATGCTGTTATGCGCTACAAGGAAAAGAAGAAGGCTCGCAAGTAAGTATACAACCACATGGAAAGGAATTAAATTCATCATCAGTGAAGATTTTTATTGCTAATTTTTAACATTTTGTATAAACAGGTTTGACAAGCGAGTGAGGTATGTCTCTAGGAAAGAAAGGGCTGATGTGAGACGGCGTGTGAAAGGACGGTTTGTCAAGTCCGGTGAAGCTTATGATTACGACCCAATGAGCCCAACAAGAAGCTACTGAGGATAAGACCCCAAAACAATGAAGAATCACAAAGTGGAGATATCAGACAGATGCAACTAATTGGCAGCAGTGGATCTGGAGGCCATTATTGGTTGATTAGGAACACTCAGTTCTCCGCCTCAAAAGCTTAATGGTAAGGCGCATGCTTCTGCTGCCTCATTTTGCATAAAGTTTGTTATCTTCTTCTGTCATTTGGCTGCTTCAGCATGACCTTGACACAGTGAAACTCTTCTACAGATTGAGCTGCATGATCCTTAAATTTTGTTCTATTGTAATTTGTGTAGCCAAGGCAAAACAACGAATGTATATTTTTTTTAATGTCATATAAATATTAATCATGTAGAAGATTGGAGTATCATAGAAGCTATGTTCTATATTTACGGTATTGGAAATTATTACTAACAAGTGTATTCTTCAAAAGCTTAACGACAAGAATCACCACTTTTTTATATTTGGATATTGCATTATCTTGCTTTCACCTTTCTTTTGCACTATAAAAAAAAACTGAATTCATTCATATTGATCAGACAAGAATCTGCTTGATACAAAAACAAAATAAGGTTTGCTCGTACAGTAACTACTGGTTCAGCAATTTCACAAGTACTCACTCTTCGTAACTTTCATCTCCTGACATAGCGGCAAAATCATCTCCCTCCGCTGTTTCCTGCAGACATTTCAATTCCGAGTTTCAGGCAAAGAGTATATT